ATGTTATTGTCATTAAGGGGGTAATGAATCATAAAACAAATAATCGAAACATTTCATAGGTGGGGGCGCCAAAAGTGTCTTTGCCTGCGGTGCTGAGAACCCTTGCTACGCCACTGTTTGACATATACACGATTTTAATATGCTGTTTCTTGGAATTAAGTCTGCGACAACACAGAATCTAGTTTATCTAGTATAAGAAACTAAATGTTATTTCTATTCACCCGTGTAAGCAGCTATTTGGTAGTTCAGAGTAGAGCAATCAAAAATTAGTTGCTATTTAACGTGAAGTTGTGGTTAAACCCACAAATGGCCAGCGATAGCTTAACTGGCGTACTTGGCAGAAATAAGGCTTCGCCCTTACAGATACTGGAGCACCCGAGTATATGGCGCCATAGGCACTCGCCTATGTTACCATCCTTAACATCGGCTCTGTCAACATGTTAAATATATCACTTAGATACATTAATTTTGAGATTCATTGTAGATTTGATAGTATCATTTTACAAAATATATCAATGTTAATGGAGAAAAAAACACGTATAACCTCTGGATATCAGCAACTGCCATTAAAACGAAACTAAGATGGACTATTTTAAAAAATATAGTATTATTTATTTTAGTAGAAAGGTATGAATTCAGGAAATTTAAAACTGATAAAAGCCTTAGCAGTTCTATATAACAATGACATGGTTTTAAGAAAACTTTTAGATGTAACTGGTATAAAGTTAAATATAAACCAAATATTTTGTTTAAGCGTTTGTAATAACTGACGATTAAATAGATACTTTGTTTTGCTTATTATTAGCTTAATTAATTAATACATCCAAATTATCATAAAATATTTTCGATGACGAGAAACCATTTTGAGACTATTAATGCTTGGACACGGCTTGAATGGGTAATGAAGAAAACTTTGATATAAGTTTAACATAACAGCATATGTACAACGTTTCTGTGTCAGTGTAAATTACTTGTAACTGATGATGACAAAACCTTGTCCATTTGCTATTATGTTAAACTTATATTAAAGTTTTTCTTTATTACTCATTCAAGCCGTCTCCAAGCAATTCATATCATAAAACATATTTTTAAAGAAGCATTTTAACGTTTAAAATAAATGTAAACAGTCGTGTTTATTGAATTATTAATATTATTTGTGCATTTTATGAATTTTATTTCTCAAAATATACACTGGTGGAATTGAAAAAAAAATAATATATATATTTTCACACAAAACTGTGACAAAAGTCGCATTCATCCAACCTGGAAAAGTCATATTGTTTGCCATATGGGGAATTGTATCACGTGCTTACCAACCACCAGTAAAGACTGTGCCGGTACGCGGAGAGATACAAAAGACGGAAAAGGGGGGTTCATCCTGACGTGTCTGATTTCGTGGAAACATTGGAAAGATTTTTGACCATTTAGATTTTATCGAAAAAGCTTATATCATAATGTCTTGGAACACCTATGTTGACGTCGAAATTTGCTCTCGTATTCGGTGTAGGATAGCCGTAATTGCAGGACACGATGGGGGTGTATGGGCTTCGCATGGACAACCTGTAAGTACAAAATAACGGTAATATTACTTTGTAATACTATTACTAATTCCTCATAGTGGAGTAGAGAGACTGCAATCGAGTAAAAATATTTTAATTTGGGAAAGCGTTCGTTCACAAGTTTGGTTGACACTGTTAAAATGAAGGAAATGACAAATGCTGTTAGTGTTATGTATGTAACTTGCGTTTAACTAAGTAAAACTAAAATTGCGGGTAATTGTGATTAATTTTTTTTTTCTGTGAGAAAAGTATTTTTAATTTTAGGTTTAGTAAATGGTACTATTACTAGTAGTATTGACATTATTCATCATTACTACTATTAGTATTAATATTATTGGCTTACCCTAGATAATGTTATACTTGGGGTACATAGTATATTGCTATTAGTATTAATATCAATTAATGTATCGGTAGCAATTTACGAACTTATTGGTATTACTGGTAATGACTCCTATCTGCACATACCAAATGTTTGTTCTTGGACTGTGTAATGTTTTTACTGTTTAACTTTTAGTTTTACTTAGTTGCAGACCCGTGTCTCTCTGATTGATTGTGTGTGTGTGGTAGTAGAAAAGTGAATTAGTAGATAGCCCAAATTAAATGAATCACTGAATGTGTATAATACAAAATATTGTTACGTTTCCGTTTGTTAATTGATTTTTCCGTAACTTCGTTCCGACGAAACTTTAACGACACAAATCTTTAATGAATAAAACTGGTTTATTCTTTCCGAATATAACTTTACGATACACTTAATTTCAATATTCTCACTAAAACAAATCACTATAACGAACGAACGTTAACTTCAACAATACCCTGTGACTGCAGTTCAATTACTCACTATTTGCACACACATTATTGTCCCGTCACGTTGTCACCCTCTTTTTATATACCAGACTACCCTATATCTAGTTAATACTAGAGCGTTCGCCAAGGTACAGGATATTTCTAGAAAATAGGAGGCGCCACACCAGTCACGTGACCTCGATGACGCAACAATATGTAGAAAAATGATGATAATAGTATAATAGCTGAGTCTGTAAGTGTAATCCCATGCTTTTACAGATGCAGATATGTGGTGTGATTTCATAACTATTTTCATGTAAATGAAAAGGTGAATTTGTTTTGGTTATATCTTTTTCTTTTTTTTATCTATGATATTTTTCGAAATGAGTTATTTTGGAATCTCTTTAGTATATTTGCAACCTATTTGCCTAGGATAGTCTCTTAAAGAAGCTACCTTGTAAATTGTATAAATATCTGTCTGGGATGGTTTCTATTACAAGGGGTGTATTACTGTAGGAGGTCTTTCATTAAAGAAAGTATAGATATTGTTACGTCTCCGTTAGTTAGTTAACTTTCCGTAACTTCGTTCCGACGAAAGTTTAGCGACACAAGTCCTTACTTAATAAAACTGGTTTATTCTTTCCAAATATAACTTTACGATACACTTGTTTTCAACAATCGCGCTAAAACAAACGCTATATTAACGAACGTTAACTTCAACAATACGTCTCTCTCTGACTGCAGTTCAATTACTCATTACCTACACACACATTATCTCGTCACGTTGTGAGCGTCTTATTTATATACCAGAAAAACGTATATCTAGTAAATACTAGGGCATTCACGAAGGAACAAGATACTTCTAGAAAATAGGTCACGTGACCTCACTGACGCAGCACTGCCCCCTCCCTAGTATTGTTCGTCCCGAACAATAACCACATACAATAAACCAATAACAATTAACAATAACTTAATTAAATGTACATAATTACAAACACAAAATTACAATTCAACAAAGTCTCTTAATTTTACGGGACGTATCTTCTGTACTGGTCTCCTTCTCGTTGGCTTCTGCTTCATGTGGGGTTCATCTGCTTCATCAGTAAATGTTCTATCGTCGATAACAGGCACATCAGTGGTAGTAACTTCATCAAGAGCTTCACCGTTTCCTTTCTCAAAACTGAGTAGAGTTTCTTCTTCGATGGTGGCTTCTTCAGGTGACACATCTTCAGCAGCGTCATTTTGTTCTGTTGTCCACTTCATCCCAACTGAAATGTCCTGGACCGTGATAACGCCAAAGCCTGTTGGCATGCACCACTTTTGGCTTACCTCGCCGACCACATTTTATCCGGAAAGTCACGTCTGAGAGACGATCCACTATGTCATATGGGCTTTCCCATGGAGATGACAACTTAGGAGACTTTCCTTTGGTCTTCCTGGGATTATACAACCATACCTTGTCTCCTGGTACAAAGCTGACTTCAGTAGATCTCTTATCATAAGTTTACTT